AGGTTTGCAAACCTCATTTGCGTATGGAAGTTTATATATTCAGCCTTGCTACATAATAAAGTGGTCATCATGGCATTCACCCAGAGAGATCTCGTGTCCTCAAGTTCTTTCTAGGATTAGCTTCGTGGGTGACCCCCCTTGATTGTTATGCCCAGGTGCCGCCCTGGAGAAGCCGTTCCCTCCAGGGACGGACTGAGGCACTAACATATATATATATATTCCATTCATTCATTCTGAACATTTTATCCCTAGCGTTTTTCCCACAGGTACATGCCTTGCAGATGATCTCTGCCTGAAGTATAAGACTCCCGTTTTCATATACTGCATGGGGATTAGAAACATTTAATCAAAATTTGTTATGTTTTTTTATTTCAGTTGGTTTTCCAATTAATCTACAAAGGATTTATTTTCAACTAACCTACGGTATTTACTGACATAGGGTGACGCACAATATTATATTAGCATAAACTGTGAATATGCTAGCCTTCTTTATAAATCAATCCTTATTATAAGACAGGAAAACGAGATAGTATTATTTTCCGTTAAAATAATAAAGTTAAAAGGATTTCACACAATTGTAAGTATATTTACGTAATATATTTTTGTAAGAGAGCCAATTTGGTGTACTACTGAAGGCATCAGGCTAGACTTTAGGAGAAAGGAGGAGAAATTGTATACTTCTAAGAAACCTTTTGCATTAAAACTGTAAGGGCTTGTCCAGATAGTTGCCAGGAAATAAGACTGCCCTAAAGGCAGGCTCCCCCACACCCAAACCTATTGTAAGTATTATACATATATAGTCAGTGGTTAAAAAATTGTGGGTATTTGGAAAGTAAAATCTCCTTCAAACTGAATTTCATCTCTGATTATTTCATTTTCATTTATTTCATTCATTTTTGTTCAATCCACTTTTTTGCAACAATATGAGTTTGCCAGTGTCTTCTTTGGAAATATTATTTTAATATCCAGCCTAGTCTAAAGTCCTAGTTTCCCCAAATGGTCTCCTATCTAAATACTAATCAGGTTCATAAATAACCTTTGAGCCTAAGTTGACCAACTGCTCCTTTTTGGTGAGACTCACTCCCAAATATTTCTGCCCACTTTGTATGTACAGTTCCCAAATCCATTCACAATATAAAGGCAATCCAGATTTATACTAAAACATCCCAGTTTAGATATTTTCTCCAATTTACAATTAATCACCTGGTTTCTTTTTTTGAACACTAGAAATTACCTTAAAATGCACTATATAATACAATTTCCCTTTATTTTATACTAAGGAAGAAAATGCCTAAATTTCTCTGGTATTAGCTACTATTCTGAAGATAGATAATGAAGTAATAATGGGGTGATATAATTTTCATTTGTGAAGTTTAACAAATACAAGATGCCAACAAAGGTTTTTAAATGTTTAGTTATAGACTTAAAATAAGAAATATAAAGAAACACATTTTCTTTTTCTCCGTCAGAAACCAGAAGAAAATATTTTATTAGCATGGTAAAAGCTCGTTTTTTTCAATGGAATATTGCCAATTAACACCAACTAACATTCTGGAATTTGCTAATTACCGAATGGAACAGATGAAATAATTAAAGGTGTTTAATTCTTTTTTCATGGTGCCTTGGCAGCATTTTCAAGTTGGCACTAAAGTGAGGAAAGTAGAAAATGGACATTTCACATGATTATGCTGCTACTGTGACTAAATACTTCTGGGATTTCCCAACAGAGAATTATGACAACTACGTAAAAGAGAATTTGGTAGCAACTGCTCTTTGGATCTCTGTTCCAGGCCAACAGCTTCATTTTCCACAAAAATGAGAACTATAATGCTAAAATTACACAAAATTGCATTATGGAACATTTTCTTTACTCATGAATTTGAATTGTGACTTGTAGACATTAAGCAATCAAAAATGAAACCGACTTGTCTGTTCGATATTATCTTTTTTCTTCTATTAGCATATAGTTTGCTTGAGAGAATATGTGGCAGTCATTCGAACAGCTCTGGGCTTAGCATATGAAAGTAAATGAATCCTCCCAAGCTTGGCCTGATGACTTTGAACCATAAACTTCATTCTTCTTGACCACTGACCAAGTTAACTAAAAAGTATACAATGTAGTAGCAACAACATCTTTATAGGCTGTCCATGTAAGGTTCAGATTAGGAAGAAATTATATAAACAAAAATGAAATAAATTAAAATTCTACATTGTTAAAGGTTTCCTATTCCCAACAATAATCATTTTAATATTTCTATTATATTCACAAGTAGGGCATAAACAGTTGTTACCTATTGTCTGCCAGTATAAAGGTCTACTTCATTACTTAACTGATAGATACTCATGAATTTGTTTGACTCTTTAAAAACATCTGGAAAGGAAGGAGATGGCAAAGTGACATTTGAAATGCATGAAAAAAATTTAAACCTGAAAGCATTACAGTATTCCTACATTCATTCATAAACATTTTTTATATTCCAAGTAACTTGTAACACATTGGATAGCATTTACAAATTATATTAACCACTGATTTTGATTTAACACTGTAAATCAACCTCAACATAGAAGTTTGTAAATCAAGTACAAAGCCACCAACTATGGATGAAATCAACTGTGGTTTCATCCACAAAACTTTAAATATCATGTCTTAGTGTCAATTCATACCCAAATTTCATACAGGTAAAACATGCCATTTAGAAAATAAAGAATCGCTATATTAGTGAGGCTACGTTTAAGGTTTATTAATGCTATGATAGTATATAACTGTTAAAAAGCCAGACTTACAAGTAGAGAGCTGAGGTGGCACAGTGGTAGGGTGCAGTACTGCAGGCCACTTCAGCTGACTGTTATCTGCAGGCTCAAGGTTGACTCAGCCTTCCATCCTTCCGAGGTGGGTGAAATGAGGACCCAGACTGTGGGGGCGATATGCTGACTCTGTAAACCGCTTAAGAGAGGGCTGAAAGCCCTATGAAGCAGTATATAAGTCTAACTGCTATTGCTATTGCTATTACAAGTAGTCCTTAACTTACAACCATTCATTTAGTGACCATTTGAAGTACCAACAGAGAAGAGAAGAAAGAGGGAGAGGAAAAACAGCTGAAGTATTTTTATTTGGTGTGTTCCAACCAGTGGTGGGTTTCAAAAATTGTTCGAACCTACTCTGTGGGTGTGGCCTCCTTTGTGGGAGTGGCTTGCCACCCATGTGACCGGATATGAAGATGCCGATGACACTTGTCAGAACCACCTTAAATTACCTCACACACAGCACTGGCATGCATAAGAATATGATGTAAACCTGTTTTTTAAAAGTCATCTTTGGTTTGCGTTAAAACAACTTCAACACACACAATGTTCTGATTGCACCACAAACGCAGTAGTCATCCTTACTTTTCACAGAGGCACTGAGTGTTATAAATATGAGCATGATAGTGTAGAATAATCATATCCAATGGTGGTGGGTTTCAAAAAAGTTTGGAACCTCTTCTGTAGGTGTGGCCTGCTTTCCGGGTCCACTGGTGGAACCTCTTCTAACCAATTCGGTAGATTTGACGAACTGGTTCTACCGAATAGGTGCAAACTGGTAGGAACCCACCTCTGGTTCCAACTCAGTATTTCTCATCCATGGCAACTTTAAGTGTGTGGACTTCAACTCACAGAATTCTCAGCAGCACTATTTGATAT